TACAACCTGCCCCTAACCAGCTTCATTCATACCCTCCTTCAACACTTCTATTCCTTTCTCAAGACTTGGTTATGACAAACTCACCCAGTTAGACAGGAACCCGTTAGAAAAACGATAGAGAATCCAAGGGAAATGGGAAGGCAACTGACATGCATTTTGGGCTAGGATCCCCCATCGCAACCTGGCAATCACACAGGATGAGGGTACTGTGCTTATCCCGGTTTTGAGGTGGGGATGCTCATGCTTGTCATGGTGACATCACCAATCCAGAACTATGTAGCTAGGAAGTGGCAGAGCTGGGATCTGAGCCCAGATCTCTGTGAGTTAGAACATGGTTCAGTCTCTGGCCTGTTTTGCCCTTTTGCTCAGACTCCAGACTCATTAAGGGCTCAATAGTAATTTTTTTTTTAGCTTTTCTTGTCCTATTGTGTTGTCATAGAAACTGCCCTACTGTAGGAAGATGGAGACCTACCTCTCACTACCTTGTGAAACTTTGGACAAGTCCCTTCACCTCTTTGGGGCCCCATTTTCTCACCTGAAAAGAAAGATTAGACTAGTGGTCTGAGGATCGTGAGTCTAGGATTTGGTGGCATTTACAAGCTCCCTGTCCCTACCTTTGGTTCTACTACTGTTTAAAAGCATCACAAAGTAGAAGGGTAAATAAAGATCCAATGTTTAGAAGCTAGGCATGAGCCAGGCAACAGTGGCTCACGCTGTTAATCCTAGCTACTCAGAAGGCTGAGATCTGAGGATCAAAATTCAAAGCCAGCCCAGGAAGGAAAGTCTGTAAGGCTTTTTTTTTTTTTAAATCTCCAATTAACCACCAAAAAGGTGGAAGTGGAGATGAGGCTCAAGCAAAAAAGTCAAAGAACAACACTTAGACCCCCCCACCCCCACACCCCCACACACAGAGCCAGGCATGGTGGCATGTATCTGTAATCTGTACTCTGGAAGCAGAGGCAGGAGGATTGGGAATTCTAGGCCAGCCTGGGCTACATAGTAAGACTTTGTCTCAAAAACAAAAAAAGTCCCTTGCTTGAAATTACATAGAACATTAATTAAACTCCATCGTTTGAAACCAAAGATGTTGTTAATCCACACCCGTTCTCTCTCCTTCCTTGCTATTTATAACAAACTCCGGTTTCCTCTGTGGCTGAGTCGGTCTTCTGTAACAAAGGAAGTAAGGCTGAGCCTGTGCATGAACTCAGATCCCCTGAGTTGGCAGTCTGGTAGACCCTCTCTGGGGTTCTGAGTTCCTGCTGGTAGGCAGAACTGGGCTCAGGGCAGACGTTGGAGACTGTGGCTCAGCATCTACCACAGGATGGGCCATGATGTGTTTCCCCTGGACCCACGCACAGCTGCCAGGGTAGGGCTGGGGGTTAGGACCTGAGTTCTGGAGCTCTATCTTCTTCCATCACCACTTTAGACGGATGCTCATATAGATTTTGCAAATTGTCTATGCCCAGTGCTAACCCTGAAGGAGATAAAGAGGAGGAGGAGGAGGGCTCCTGTGGAGACATTCCTAGGGCCTACAGGCATCTCTTACACGTTCTGATTGGTTCCCAAAGGGTTGCTGTAGAGAACTGGGATATTTCTGAGAGCAATCTGGACCAGATGGCTGCCCCAAGTTGCTGCTGGAGAATTTTAGTAGCGTGGGAGCTTCCTGGCTGCGGGGGGGGGGGGGGGGGGGCACACTTCCCCAAGGTTCCCATATGCCCAGACACCCACAGTTCCTATCAAAAGAAATGATGGAGGCCCCAAGATGCAGGTGGGGGGGGGAGGCAGGGAAGGGGCTTGACTCAAGACTAGAGCTAAAGCTCTACAGGAGCTCAGGACCAACGTGTGTTATAGGAACTCAGGACCAACGTGTGTGTGTGTGTGTGTGTGTGTGTGTGTGTGTGTGTGTGTGTGTTGCATCTGCGAAGAGTGTTGAGGACTGCAATCTATACAATAGAGTGGCTGATCCTGAGAACTTAACAGTTTGGAAAGGAGGGAATTAAAAGGTAGCTGAGGGCTGGGAAGGTGGCTCAGTGGTAGAGCGCTTGCCTTGCATGCATGAGGCCCTGGGTTCGATTCCTCAGCACCACATAAGCAGAAAAGAAAAAAGCCAGAAGTGGCGCTGTGGCTCAAGCGGTAGAACGCTAGCCCTGAGCTGAAGAGCTGAGGGATAGTGCCCAGGCCCAGAGTTCAGGCCCACAAATGGACCCAAAAAATTTTTAAATAAATAAATAAAAAACAAAAATAAAAGGTAGCTGAGAGGGGACAGAGGGTGTGGCACCAAACCAGAGAGGAAGCGAAGGCTCGTGAAAGCTGGACAGGCATGAACACAGCAGAGATTGTCCAGGCTTCCTCTAACCTATGTAACCCAAATCTCCCCAAGCTGCAGTTTAAGCTTCTTTCCAACACCTTGGATCACCTCATGGCCTCTGCCCAGTTAGCTCCTCCCTTCTGGGCAGCAGAGCCCAGGGATAGGGCAAACACCGGGCTGCCCTGCCGTTCCCTGGAACCCAAGAGGATGCTGCTGAAGTGCCTGGGGTAGCCAACATCCTGATCTCCTGACTTCTAGGAAGCCTGAGTTCGCAGCCCATGTGCCTCCTGACCTGTGCTGACTAGACACCCTGTGGCCTAGAAGGATGGGGGTGGGGGGCAGGCAGTGGCTTTGGCGGCATTTCCCAGCAGTAGAACTGTGAGTCAGAAGGGTCACTTACTGTCAGAAGTCAGAATGGACCTCCTGCAGGCAGGAAACTAAAACTGGGTCCCAAAGAAGTCCAGAGGTGTGGGTGGGCAGAAGAACAGCTTTGCAAAATGCAGCTTTATTATCAGAAAGGACTAAGCCTGGCGGTGACCATGGCTGTAGGAAAAGCCTTGGCTGGGCTAGCTCCTTTGTCACAGGCTCATGGTTTTTTTGTTTTGTCAGTCAAGAGGCCTGAACTCTGGGCCTGAGCGCTGTCCCTCAGCTCTTCAGCTCAAGGTGAGCGCTCTACCTTTTGAGCCACCACTTCCAGCTTTTTCTGCTTATGTGGTGCTGAGAAATTGAACCCAGGGAATGATGCATATAAGGCAAGCACTCTACCACTGAGCCACCTTCCCAGCGCTGTCACAGGTTCTTGTTTGAGGTGACATGGAGAGACTAAAACACACACACACACACACACACACACACACACACACACACGTTCAAATCTTGAGTCTGTTGCTTATATGCTGGGTGAGACTCAGTTTCCCCACCTGCAAAACTGAAAACAAACAATAGAGTTTAGTTTCCAAGATTATGAGAGATAATGTTTCCAATTAACTAAAATGTTGGTAGTGGAGCTGTGGCTCAAGTGGGAGAGCATCAGCCTTGAGCAAAAAGGCTAAGGACAGTGCCCAGGCCTCGAGTTCAAGTTCTAGATGTAGTGTGCCCACACACACACAAAGATGCAGGACCACCTGCCCCAACACCACTCTGCAGGTACTATGGGGTAGGGTATGCTGATTCACCCTTGAAAATCTCCCAGACAGAGATCTCCTGGATCCAGCAGTCATGGGTGGTAGGGGAGGTGTGGGGAGGAGAGGGAGGAAGATGGTACCAACAGATGCACCCATAGATACTCCCCCCTCCCCATACACACACACCCTTGCCAAAATCTCTGACAAGGTTTCATCATCTGGGGGTGATGCAAGAGGCTTGGAGTCCGACTCTCTTTCCTCCCCTCCCCCCAGAGATTTCACCCACATCTGGAAGTACAGCTGGGTCCTCCTCTTGGGTCCTTTCCAGGAGAGGGACTGGGTGAAGAGAGGGAAGGGAGGGCAGCTGGTGGGGGGGGGCTGTGAATGGCCTCAATGTTGGGAGTTGTGGGGGGGAGGGCGAGTGGGGCTCAGAGGGAGGGGAGGCGGACTGGAAAGGGAATTGTGATTTCACATTCATGGTCTCCTCCTCCATCACTGCCTTGTATTGAAGTGGCCAGGGCTCCCCCTCGTCCTTCCATCCATCCCTGAAGGCAGCAGCTGGCCCCCTCCTTCCCTGCCCACCCACTTCCCAGCCCGGCCTCTCTGCCCAGGTGCCCGGAGGAGTTGAGAGTCCCCTTTGTTCCTTCCTCTTCCCGAGGCAGCGCTGGCCTCCCACACTGACCCTCTGTCCCCCCCCCCGCCCCCCGCTGCCACAACGAGCAGAGTGTGAACCAAGCCCCGCGGGTCACAAAGGTTAATGGGCTGGGGTCTAACGGTGGAGGGGCCGGTCTGGGCCAGGGGCCTGGCCAGGGATCAACCAAAAGATGGATTCTGAAAATGCTGCAAGGCGGAGGAATTTTACTTGCGGCATGAGCAAGAATCCCCTTCGAGAAAGACTGGCGAATGTACGGGAACACATGCAGAACCAAGGGAAGCTGTCCGGGCCTTTTCCAACCAGGAAGCTCTCCTGGCGGCGGGGGAGCGTCCGAAGCGTCGCTGCGGGTGCCCTGCCCGCGAGGCCAGGGTGCTTACCGGGCTCCGCCACGCACGCGCGGTGTGACCTTGAAGGCCCGTCTGTTTCCCCGTTGATGAAAAGGCGGCTGCGGTCCCGCCACTTCGAGGGTCGAGGAGGCTGCGGGGTCCGCTTCTCCGCTGGAGACCTGCGTGTGCCACTCCCCTCCTCCCATCCCGGCCCCGTCCCGCCTCCGCCCGTCCATCCGGCCCGCCCCCCAGCTCTCCCCGGGACGTGAGCCAAGAGGTCCCTTTAAAGGCGCAAGTCCCGCCCCCCAGGGGCCCGTCCGGCTCTTCTATTGGCGGCCCCGAGAGGGGGCGTGGCCGGCGCGGGCTCGGCGGGGCTCGGGGGCGGAGCCTGGGCCGGGTCGGCCCCCGCCCCCTTTGTTCGCGCGGCGGCGGGAGGCGGCGGCGGCGGCGGCGGCGGCGGCGCGGGCGGGAGGTGTGTGCGCGCGTGTGCCGCGCGGTGGGAGCGGCGGGGCGCGCAGCCGGCTGTCAGCGAGCTCTGCGCCGCCGCCGCCCGCCCCGAGGGGCCGGCCGCGGGTGAGCCCCTCTGCTGGTCGCCGCTGAAGCATGTCACCTCCAGCCTCCGCGGGAGCCTTCGCCAGCCGTGTCCGCGCCCCCGCCTCCCGCGGCCGCTGCCCCGGACACTGGCCCCCGGACCCCCGGCCCTGATCCCCGCCCGGACCCGAGCGCCGGGGGAGCCATGGCTGGCCAGGGGGACTGCTGCGTCAAGGTGGCCGTCAGGTGAGGGCCGGCGGCGGGGCCGGGGGCGCGCGCGGGCGCGGAGGGCGCTCGGGCTTTGTCCTGCGGGGTGGGCTGGGCGCGGGGGGCCGCGGGCGCCGCTCGAACCCGAGCCCGCGGGCCCGCAGGCGGGGCGGCCCGGGCCCGGCTGGAGGCCGGCGCGCGCTCGCCCGGCCGACTGCTGGAAGGTGGCTTTGTTTGGGTGGTAATTTCGGGTCCCTGGGGGAGCCCTTAATGATCCGAAAATCGAATAAACAAGGAAATCCGGTATTTCACACCCAAGCCCTGGCCCCGGCCGAAGCGTCTGCGCGTTTCCTCTTCGCCTCCCCACGAGGCTGCTGTCTCATCACGGGGTGCTGGAGGGGAACCCCCCCCCCCATCTATCCCAGTCAGTCAGTTCTGGGCGTTTGCTCTCAGCCAGCCGAGGCTGCACACCGTCCCGAGAGCGGGTTCTGGGGACAGAGATCTGCAGGTCCCACGGAAGGGCTGGAATGGTGCCCTGGCCTTCCCTGGAAAGCCTTGGCTTCTGGAAAGGTCCAGCCGGCCCTCCTGGGGGCCGGAGGAGGGAGGAAGCCCTGTGTCTCGGAGGACCCTGCTTCTGAGATGGAGGGAGGGTGTGACAGTGATGTCCTGTCACTCAGGTGGCACTGAGCAAGTGGAGGAGGGCTGCGGTCACCTTTTCTGGGGTCCCTATGGCTCTTGAAGGGTTCCCCGGACAGGCTTTCACTGCAGGGAGAGGACCAGCCAGGGTGGGTTCTGTGGGGAGGAGCACACCGAGGTGCAGAGGCAGGAAACACTGCAAAGTTAAACCATCTGTGTTCTTTGTGCTGGGTGGAGCGGCTTCACACCACACCAGCCCTTCTGTTTTTGTTTGGGGGTTTTCCTCTTTGAGAGGGGGCTATTGGGAGAGTATCAGCCTGGAACTGGCCACCGAGGTACGGGGGGAGGGACAAGACAGAAGAGCCTCTATTTGTCTCAGCCTTGTATGAAGGGGGAAGGAGAATGTTCCAGTGCTAGGTGGGTCTCTGAGACAGGTCTCCAGATCGCCTCGGTCACGGTGACCTAGATTCCAGCGGTCCTTGGAAGTTGCTTCTATACGGGGTCAAAGATGGCAATGGACAAGCTTCTCCATTTCTGGCCCCGGGGGCAGCTGTCCCCAGCTACATGGCCAAAAGAGACAGGCCACTGCAGCTTAGGACAACTCTGGGATTGAGGGAGGGAGATTGAGGGATTCCCCACTCCCACCCCACCCCTCAGGCAGCACTTAGCATCACTTGAGCTCAGTTTTCCTGGCACAGAACAGCCTGAGACAAAGAGGAGCCAGCCAGGCAGGCAGGTGCCTGATGGGGTGGGGCCTGGCTGCTATTGGGGCTGACACTGCACCAGGACCTCTTGGAGGTCAAGGGAGGGGGGGAGGGAAGAGAGAGAGTGAGAGACAGAGAGAGGTACATGGGTGAGAAATGTAAATATGGCATCTACTGCCGATGAGGAGAAGCCAGCCAGTACCATAAAAGGTAAATGGAGCGATAACCCCCACCGGGAATAAACCAAGGCTAGGAAAGAAGAGACCCAGTGCCCCTTCTGTGGGGGCTTTCCTTTAGACTCCATCTTGGAGGAGAGAGACAAACAAAGGACCTCTGCCACCTCTGCTCAGGGTCCCCAGACAAGATTGGGCGTGATAAAATGTGGAGATACCAGTTGGGGAGCCCCAGGGGATGGACACCTACCTGTGTAGAGAGCGAGGAAATCGGGTGTTACCTGTCTATTCCTACCCCCAGAAGATCCCTGGGCCCCCTTCTACAGGATGGTGCCTGCCTTCTCCTCCGGGTTTTGGCCGGGGCGGGGGGGGGGGGGGGGAGTGATCTTTCCAGTCTCGAGATGCTGATGGCTGGAGGCTGGGGGGAATTGAGCATCTGAAGGTGAGAGCCTCGCCCACTCCACCCCTGAGCTCTGCTCTCCAGCGCTGCTGTGTGATAGTCCAGCCTGGCACACACCAGAGCTCCATGCGCAGCCGGCCGTGGAAGGCAGACAATGCCTGGACAGAACCCAGTTTCTAATCAGAGAGCTGCGGCTGGGAGGGGAGCAGATGTGACATGCTCCTTGCTTTGGTATCTCCTTCCCTCCCCCACCCGCAAAAATCACGGGTCCTGTTGAAAAGTCTAGGTTGGGGTTGCAGTTGAATGGCACATTGAACAGCCCCAGCACTCACTACCTCAAGGCAATTGCTTTTCAGCCATCCTGGAAATTCTTTACCTGAAATACTTTCTGAGTTCCCTTGAGGGTACCTTGGGGTGGGCCTTGGAGTCCAGCTTTTTGGACAGGCAGGCAGAGAGTCTAGCATACCTGTTAGGGAGAGAGGGAGGCTCAGGCTCTTAGGAGAGAAATGCCAGGGCCTGGGCTCTTGGCCTCTAATCTAGGATAAGGATCAAAGCTGGCTAACTACAAAGTGCTCTTGGGAAGGCCTGGACTCTGAGAACCCACAGGAGGACCTGGGATTTTGAGATTAGGAGACAGAAACTAGGTATGGGCCCCCCCCAGGTTCGCTAGGTAGTGTGGTCCGATTGTTCCTGAACTCAGGCTTGTTAGCTTTGCACTGGAGTGCCAGGCCAGCCTTTGCTGTCCTATGTCCCTTTATCCTTTAATCCTCGTGTATTATACGATATGGACAGTGCACTTCCTGGCTTTTACCTGGGGTGGGGGGATAGGATGGGCAGCAAAGCTGCTGGGGAGAGGCTAAGCTGTGACCCGCCCCCAGCTGCAGAAATACAGGCCTCCTGACAAATCAGGGGAGAGAGGGTGGCTGTTAAGAAACACAAGTTGGCAAAGCTGAAATTGGGGAAGAAAGCCAAGTCATGTGGTGAGTTTATTTAAGACCCTTCTAAGCCCCCAGCTCTGAGCCCCCCCTCCACACAAGGGGAGCCTTTAGTGTTGCCTAACCCCCTCCCCCCTTATCTCTGCCTGGCTCCTCAAAGCTTCCTTCCGGTAGTCTCTTGTGAGGAGGAGGTGCCTTGGCCTGTCCACATCCATCAGCTTAAACTACAGGGTGGGGAAGCACGGGCCAGGGACCCCGGAGACAGTGATAGGCAGGCCCAGGCCTCCTCCCACTGGGGTTCCTTAGTTCTGAGCTACTCTGAAATCTTGGTCAATGACTGTCAATTTTGAATTGGCGGGGAAGATGGGGGGGCGGTGGAGATATTGTAGACATAGGCGTGTGGTAGTGTTTTCAGGAGCCCAAAGCCACACAGTGCTATGTAATACCAGTTGTGTCTCATGCTATCCAGATTTACAGATCTGGGAAACTGAGGCCCAATCCAGGACTTTGTGCAGACTGTGGTGGGAACCTGGGTACCTTGGTGGCCTCCTGCTGTAGAAGCTGGGCTTATGTCACCACAAGGAAGTGTAGTGTAGTAACCACAAGCCCCGGAAACCGCCTCCCTCCTCTACCCAGCAGCGGCCTAGCTTGATTGGACCTCAGCTTTTGAAAACTTCAAGTGGAGAGTGGGTGGGGCTGGGCTAGGGAAATAACAAAGGTGACACCTGCCTGCCACCCTTACTCTAGATGCTCTGGGAGCAAAGGGCAGGGCTGGAGCCAAGGTAATTCATCTAGACGGGTCATGGGGTTCCCTCCCTATATGTCCTTCTGGACCTCAATTCTCCACACTGGAGAATGGGAATACCTGGTTGATTTGTACAGAGCAGTAGAAATGGAGAAAGTCGAGAGCATATGAATAATTCCTGGAGGGAATAACAGGCAGATGGGACTCCTAAGGAATGAATAAAATGTGTGAACAAAATAAGCCCTCAATTCAGTGTACCTCAGAGCCACCCCTGTCATTTAAGATGTCGTGAACTGTAAAATGGTCTCCTCTCTGCCCCGCTTTGTTTATTTAGAGCAGGACAACATGGTATGGAGGGAAGGATATTGATCTAGGAAGTGGCCGAAACCCATGGACTGATTTCATTCTTCCTCTGTGCCAGGCATTGTGCCCATACTATCCCCCAGGCCCACCCATAACTGATGAGACTTCTAGTGTGCAGATGAGCAAACGCGAAGGGTAGCTGGGGGTGGGAGGATCTGAACTCAGGCCCTCTCCTCTCAAGTACATGCTCAACTCACTTGCCTTGCCATCCAGCAGCTAGCGTCTCACTGCTGCCCACCCGGTTCTTCTGAGGCTGTCCTACCGCACACTGTAACGTGAAAGGGAACGTGGCAGGGGCATGGGGCGTGACATAGATGTGGTACAGATGTGTGGCAAGGAGGGAGGCTGCTAGACTTTGTCTTATGGGGTCACTTGGCAAAGGGTTGGTTGATGGTCACCAGTGGTCCTCTTGTGTTTGGAAAGCCTCTTTCTTCCCCTCATCCTCCCTTTCTTAGATCCCTGCATCTATCCCGTTGGCGGCTCTCTAGGAAATTGACTTTTGGGGCACCCATGACTCCTCCTGCTGCCGGTTTCCTTCCAAAGGTCAAAACCTCAGGTGTCTTGGGCTGCCCAGCCCTTCATTTTGCCCTCTGGACAGCAACACATAGAGAGCTTTCAAGAGAAAAGCAGCCTCTTCCTGCCCCTCCCCCTTAGAACAGCTGGAGGGGGCACCATGGAGGGGCAAGGGCGGAGCTTTGGGAGGGGCGGAGTTTGGGAAGGGGCGGGGCTTAGTGCAATGAGCTGTGAAGCAGAGTGCAGGTGGCAGCCTTTTGGCCCGTGTCCTATTCTCTACAAGGCTCCCTCTTTTTGTTGTTTTCGTTTTTTTTTTTTTTTTTTTTTGCCAGTCCTAGGGCTTGAACTCAGGATTTGGGCACTGTCCCTGAATTTCATTTGCTCAAGGCTAACGCTCTACCACTTGAGCCACAGCACGACTTCTGGCTTTTTCTGTGTATGTGGTGCTGAGGAATCAAATCCCGGGCTTTGAGCCTACGAGGCAAGCACTCTACCACTAACTAGGCTGCCTTCCCAGCCCCAAGGCTCCCTCTTTGATCACTACAGTTCTGGGTGTAGAAACGATAGTCT